TAAACATGAGTTTGCATTTATATTAAAAACGTAATATATATATAAATACATCAAAATAATAAATATGTATTGAATCGCAATCATCTATAAACAAACAAGCTATAAAATCAAAACGTGCACAGGAAACGTATTTTTCATACAGTCTTCACCGCCTAATTTTACAATGAGCAGGTCTCATTACTCACTGTCATTTTAGGTTATGAAACCGACTATATCATTTTCTAATCATTTCCTAAGTTCTGAAGGAATGGCATTAATTACCATCATATACTCCTTGACAGGTATATAAAATGAACATTTTCCTAAAAACTCTGAATATGTAAGTGCATGACCATTACTACTATTCAAAAGGTGAGGAACCAACAAAATATTTGCTCTAAACCAATTAACTAAAAAAAAAGATTTATTTTGGTGTGTAATGGCTTTTACTATTCAGTACAGTCGAGTTATTTCTCTTCTTCCTCTATTAAGAATAATAATCTATAATAAAAGACTTTGTTTTAAAAGGCAGACGTTATCTAAAAAGAAACTAACTTTAAAAACATGAAGTTGTCAAATGTTGTAACATTGGTAAACATTTTTGTGTTTTTATTTAGCTTCACTTTATTTCTATAGACATTTTTGTCTTTAGTCTTTTGACTTTGTTTCGTTTATTATAATGTACCTACTGGCTGCCTTCGTTTAAAAATAAATTTTCCGTTAGAATCAAGTTTTACACGTCATATGAGAACTGAGGTCATGTGAGAACTTTAAGTTCCACTTTTTATTTCCTAGAAAACCCAGAAACCACAAGCCAATACACTGATCTGAAGAAGCTATACCCTAATGAAACATAGAGAACTACTGTAATTTATTTTAGTTTCAATTCTTTATAAGATAAAGGTCTTTGATGAACCAAGTAAGTAGTCTGTGATTTGAACACAGACATTTGATTATTTTGTGTGATACTGTTAAATTCATAAAATAATAACAACAACAACAATAATAAACTTATTTATAGATTTATTGCTTTTACACAACACAACAAATTGGTCTAAAAATGTGTTTCTTCAAATAAACTAAAATACGACAGTGAGAAGTGAGGGTATAATCTTGGTGCTTTTTTAAATTCTCACTATTACTCCAGGTTATTAGTTCCTCACAGACAGCCACATATTTTCACACTATCGCATTTGGTTGATGATATCTTGGGATGAAGAAATGCAAACGTCAAGAGAACAACAATGATAGAATCGTCAACATTTTGGTGAATGTTAAAAGTCATTTCTTTTGTGGTTTGCAAAAAAGGGAAACCCCTAAAAGAACACTTTCTGAGTCAGACCACAGTTAGTTGCATAGATTGCAACTAGACTCCCCTCACCTAGGTTGCCTTCTTGCTTGAATATTTTTCTACTTGACATGCAAATAATGAATGACAAAATACTGTGATTATTGTATGTTTGCATATTTTATTTGACTGACAGGATGTGTTTGAGTGCTGCTCATACAATTGTTGTAATTCATAGAGATTAAAATGTAAAACTATTTTATATTTAAGTGGTAACTGTTTATTCTATAAAGAGACTCCACTAATAATGTTTCCATGATTAAAGTTAAGGAGATGGTCGGGGTCTTGGGTGAACTTTGTGGCAATTTACCTTTTTAATAATCTTTTTTCTGGGATGTTGTTCATGGGCATGATGTTCCTCGTCTGCAGTGTGAGATTCTTCTTCTTGAGCTGAAGTTTCTCCACCTTCTGCATGATGTTCCTCGTCTGCGGATTGAGATTCTTCTTCTTGAGCTGAAGTTTCTCCACCTTCCGCATGATGTTCCTCGTCTGTGGATTGAGATTCTTCTTCTTGCGCTGAAGTTTCTCCACCTTCCGCATGATGTTCCTCGTCTGCAGATTGAGATTCTTCTTCTTGAGCTGAAGTTTCTCCACCTTCCGCATGATGTTCCTTGTCTGCGGATTGAGATTCTTCTTCTTGTTCTGAAGTCTCTCCACCTTCTGCATGATGTTCCTCGTCAGCAGCGTGAGATTCTTCTTCTTCTGCTGAAGTTTCTCCACCTTCCGCATGATGTTCCTCGTCTGCGGATTCAGATTGTTCTTCTTGTGCTGAAGTTTCTCCACCTTCCGCATGATGTTCCTCGTCTGCGGACTGAGATTCTTCTTCTTGTGCTGAAGTTTCTCCACCTTCTGCATGATGTTCCTCGTCTGCAGCGTGAGATTCTTCTTCTTGAGCTGAAGTCTCTCCACCTTCTGCATGATGTTCCTCGTCTGCGGCGTGAGATTCTTCTTGAGCTGAAGTCTCTCCACCTTCTGCATGATGTTCCTCGTCTGCGGCGTGAGATTCTTCTTGAGCTGAAGTCTCTCCACCTTCTGCATGATGTTCCTCGTCTGCGACGTGAGATTCTTCTTGAGCTGAAGTTTCTCCACCTTCTGCATGATGTTCCTCGTCTGCGGCGTGAGACTCTTCTTGAGCTGAAGTTTCTCCACCTTCTGCATGATGTTCCTCTTCTGCAGCGTGAGACTCTTCTTGAGCTGAAGTTTCTCCACCTTCTGCATGATGTTCCTCTTCTGCAGCGTGAGATTCTTCTTGTTGTGCAGCATGTTGGTCATCTGAAGATGATACATCTGTTTCTTCTTCTTCTTTCTTGTCATTTTCAGAAATGTCAGAATCAGGCAGGGCAATATCTTCATTGCTACCTGAGTCACCTACAATCTGGGTCCCCTCCCATAATTTGCCATTAAAATTGATGATTGTTTGGATGACTTTTGTACCAGGGAAGTCCATAGCAATTATACCTACACAATGTGGTCTATTTTTGTCTCCTTTAAGATTGAGAAGATAATTGTCAACTTGTTTATTCAGTGTTTTTGCGATTTTTAGTGGCTCTGATTCTCCGTTGGCCGTAGTGTATGTGAGCATCATCTCCTGCTCACACTTTTGTGAAGCTTTCTTGATATTTTCTCTCATTTGTGTTTCTTTTGTATCCATGTCTGCATTCAGTTCTGTGATGTGAGCAGGAAGTCCTAATTCTAATGTTGAACTCTGAATCAAGACTATCTTGCCTCTCACCTGGCCCAAAGTTGGAATCACTTTGTCTCTCCACACAGGCCAATCATCACCACTTAAAAATTTTGTGACTTGAGCAACAGCACCCTCATCTGGAGTTACTCTAAGCAACAGTATCTCTTTCTTCTGTTTCACAAGGAACGTCCGCATAGTTTTCAAAAAATAATTAAGAGTCTCTGATTCCTGGACGCTTCCAGTTTTAACATACTTGATGCTGTCGGAGGACACGTGCAAGTCAAAAAAACGCACGCCTGCATCCAGTTGGTTGTGCAGTCCCCATGATTGGAACATTGGTTTGGATGTTTTTAAGTATCTGTTGCTTTGGTGTGTTCCAGGGATTGATATAGCTGATAAAAGCCTGTCATTTTCTATTTTCTTTATCCATTTGTGGCTGACATACTTAGAACTGAGAGCTTCAGAGGTGCTGACATGTTTTTTACACTCACACGTAAAGATAGCCACCCTGCAAGTAAAAAAAGAAAAAAATATATTTAAGCTTGTGTGTGTGTGTGTGTATATATATATATATATATATAATGGCACTCATATACTTTTCTCAAAGAATCAATCAGTCTAAATGTTTTCATGTTTGCCATATGCATACTCACCACAGTGGAACTTACAATATAAACACAGAAAGGTACTGAAGTTTTCCCATGATTTTTTATTTCCTTCTGCAGCAGCACTTCTGAAAAATGAACAATTGTTATAGGTGAAAAGAGTTAATCATAAAGCTTATAATCGTCTAGGCTGTAATTTGATCTTGAACATCAGTCTATGAATATTTCAAAAGAGCTAAAATCACTGGTCACATTATTGAATATTGCTATTGTAAAACATTTTCTACAAAGCTGGTTGCATGCTTTTGACAGCAAATATCAACTGTAAAACCTTGAGTAATCCAAACTTCAACAGTTCTACATGTTTAAAGTACAAGAGTTCCCTATAAAAGTCATTTGCATTTTGCCACCATGCCAAAATAAACACACTAAACATTTCATATTTAGGAATGTGTTACATCACGATTTTCAAACAACAACAAAAAATAAGTATACTTACTCGTGTAATATCATGTGTAGAAGATAAAGAATGTTTTTAGAATTAGTTTGCACTGAATTTGGCATCAGACAGTTCAAGAAGTTAAAAACAGTGATGTTTGCAGTCTTTCCTTCTGTCATATACTATACATCTTTAACTGAGGCAGTTATCCAGCATTTGACTACATTTGCCTAAACAGTCCATGTAAAATGAGCCCTGAAATAGTTTGCTTTCATTCACTGTGTACAGATAGCATATGAAAATCATCAGATTCATCTATCTGTCTTTTATAAAGTTTTTAAGAGCAATAGCGAATGAATATCCTACATTAATAGAATTTTGGCACCTTTTAAATAATGACACGACATTGCATACTATGTGAGGAAGGTAGATATTAACTAAAAGGTTACGCTGTGTTTTCAGGAACAGGATATTTTACGTCAGCTTGGGGCAAGTTGTCACACATTTTAAATGTTATACATTTATATATATATATATATATATATATATATATATATAAAGAAAAGTTAGCCAAAACAAATTTGATTTGAAATATTTGAATGTTACTCTTTTACAGTTAGGCCTATGTGGTTTCATAACTGGAAAAAAATCAATAAACTGGAAATAAATACATCAAAACATCAATAAATTACTTTTTAGTAGAATAAAGTGTGAGACAATTACACCAGCTGTCTCCAAAATTAATTAATAGATTATTAACTGAAAGATAGGCTATGAATGAATGAATGAATGAATGAATAATACAATGGAATATGTATGCCAGTACTTATAATCCATTCACCGCGTGCGTCTGTAATGATAATAATTATACTTGACGTCATAATGCCCCGCTAGAAGCAAAGTAAGACAAAAACCTAATAATAGCGTACAATAACACTTTTCATCATGTCTCAAAGAACTCTTCCTTTGCTCATCATCATGGCCGGACTTACCATTGGGCTTGAATGGGCTGCAGCCCAGGGGCTCCGCCTTGTAGGGGGCCCCGCCTTAACCCATTTACATTTGTTCAGTTATGTGCCAGTCAGAAATTATTAGGGCCAGTCGGGGAAAACAGCTTCCAGCTTCCAACTACAACATTCAAACCCATAATCAAACAGCATAAACTGGAATTTATAATTTTTTTTCACATAGAAAAAGGACACGTATTAAAGGGGTCATATGATGCTATTTTAAAGATCATTATTTTGTGTATTTGGTGTAACAGAATATGTTGACATGCTTTAATGTTCAAAAAACACATTCTTTTTCAAATACTGTACATTATTGTAGGTCCTCTATGCCCCGCCTCTCTCAAACGCTTCGTTTTCTACAAAGTCCCTCCTTCCGACAAGCGCAGTCTGCTCTGATTGGCCAGCTGACCCAGTGCATTGTGATTGGCCGAACACCGCAAGCAGGTATGTGTTTGTGATGTGACCCCCTCTCTCTCGCTCTCTCTCTCTCTCACACACACACACACATGATGCGCAAAACTCCGCATTTGAACAGCCAATAGCAAATAAACGTCTGCGCTGCGCCGAATCACCGATTAATTTGATCACATGCATGGCTACTTTAAACGGTTCCATTAAGCCTTTAGCCCAAAAGAGCGCACATTTACAAAGATAATAATAAATTCTCACATGTTCACGCCTCACTTCTTTACAGAGGGTGATTCTATATTATATTAATGTTCCACTAAATTAATCTGAAGAGTTGAGCGCTCTCTCCCGTCCAAAGACTATAGAATACCCTAATATCTTACAGGGACTTTGTCCCGTCTCACTACCTCCAGACAAAGTGGAGCAGAAATTTCATCAAAACGATTAAAAAAAAGAAAAATAGCCATTTACAGGGTCCGTACGGTCATGAAAACCCCAGAAAGCTTTGGAAAAGTCGTGGAAATGTATTTTACAAATCTCTATATAATAGAATATATGTTTAATCACGTCCTGAATCTCGGTGCGGGATTGCGCATTTCGGTTTTACTCATTTACGCAGGTTTCGCACGTTTGGAAAATTCCCGCAAACGTTTATTTAATATACAATGTAGGTTAGATGAGTTAAAAACATTCACACAGAGTATCAGATTAAGTCAATCATTTGAAAACAGCGTGTGTGGTTCAGCTGTACCGCGTCTTCTCGCTCTCACTCTCACTCTCTCAAAATTGCCTCACATCAGCGCATCTCGTCTGCACTAAGAGTGCTGCTGAACACGACTTTCGCTCAGCTGACAGGACTGTCACTTGCCTAATCGGGTCAGTGTTGCATCATCACAAAAGTTTATTATTTGCACGTCTTTTTAAGTATTTTTAAACCAGTCGGTACTCGCACGCTCCAGACTAGTTTTCTGGGCGCTCAAAGCGCACGCACATGAAGCTGCGCAAACACCTCAAGAAAAAGTTATTGTTTTCATTGAACAAGTTACTAGCAATAGCACAAATGAAACCAACTGTGTTTTAACTTTTTCAGGTAGACAAACCTAACAGTAGCTTCTACTATTCAGAAACAAAATACTATGATGTATAAAGTCATAGATATAGATTATATTTATATATAAATCTATAAAAAAGTTATTTAGTCAAGAGCAGATTTGAGCAGAGTGATTTTTTTTCTTTTGTTCTTTAGCACAGAGACAGCAGGTATACTAAAAGCTGCTGTCACTTTCATACCAAATGTTAATGTTAACAATGTTAGTTAATTAGGCCTATTGGTTATTGTTAATTAATGTTAACAACAAAAGGCAAAATCACTCACTGCTCTTGACTGAATAACTTTTGTAACTTTAATTTTAAGAATGAATCTGTTCTTTAATTTACAGTGAATTTACTGTTTTTAATTTACAGTTTATTACATTCCTGCACCTGAATGTTTTCCACCAAAACTGTTTTAGAAACAGTTTTGGTGGAACACATTCCTGTCCCTGAATGTGTTCCACCAAAACTGTTTCTAAAACGAGTCCTGAGTTTAATTTATAATACTGGCTAAGCAAATTACAATATACTTAACATTCTGGCATTCAGTTGTGTGATTATGTAGCCTAACTTATGTTCTCTGCATGAAGTAACGTCTGGCACAGTCGCTGCCTGTGCTTATTAGAAAGCTAACAAATAGTATTAATAATCATTAATATTCCTTAGCATATGCTATGATAAATCTGAACATTTGTTTAAAATAATGGAGCATTAGGTCATAAATATTGCCTTAAAAGTCATTGAAATGTATTGGTTGAACGAACCCTGCATTTAATAACTAAAGTGAAGTGACATGTGGCCAAGTATGGTGACTCGGAATTAGTGCTCTGCATTTAACCCATCCAAAGTGCACACACACAGCAGTGAACACACACACACCATGAACACACACCCGGAGCAGTGGGCAGCCATTTATGCTGCGGCGCCCGGGGAGCAGTTGGGGGTTCGGTGCCTTGCTCAAGGGCACCTCAGTCGTGGTATTGAAGGTGGGAGAGAGTGCTGTACATTCATTCCCCCCACCTACAATCCCTGCCGGTACGAGACTCGAACCCACAGCCTTTATTATGATTATGAGTCCGACGCTCTAACCATTAGGCCACGACTTCCCCTTTTAATGAGTGAATGCCTACGATATAGGAGTTAGCCTATCACACAAACTAGAGTCCTGTTTTTCCGAATATCTGCACTATGGCAAATGTACAATAAACAACAAGTTACAAGTTACTGGTTCAAACTGGCTATAAGTACAGTTGTTTGCTAAGTTAAATGAATTAGCATTTTAAACAAATCGGTTGATTTAAGGATCCAATTCACTCATTAAGACAGTCACTTGCTGCCACCTACTGGCGGTTGTAGTTTCATATTTGAAAAAGTATCTCATTATTTCATTTTTGCAATCATTTAATACTTCTACATTAAAATGTTGTATTTAAACTTAACATAACTTATGCAAAATCCATCTATCCAACACGTTTTTTTATTCAGATTGAATTGATTAAATTTAAGAATCTGACATAAAAGGACTAAGATATGACAATACATTTTCATAATACATCTCTTTGTTTTTTTTAGCTCAGTGTTATTTCAGGGTTTTGATCTCTCAACTGAGAGATCACATCCTGTTTATTGTATTATAGTGACTATTTAATATTACATCTAAACTTTGACTAGGCAAGACATGTTGCCTATTAATTGTACACAGTATATGAAACTGAAAGCATATTTGAATTTTTGTGTATTTTGTGTTACTCCTTAATAATGTTCTAGTTGAGGGCATTTGTAGTATAGGAATGGGGCCCCAACATAACCTCAAGCCCAGGGGCCCCCGGCCCCGTAAGTCCTGCCCTGCTCATCATAAACCTCGGCGGAAAAATTATCTACATTCTGGATCAGCGCCTCCGAGTGCAGGATGAGAACGATGATAAAACTCAGAGAGGTAACCAACAGTAGTTTCGACCCCCATAGTCACAATAGCTGCCTAACTAACGGAATCCTGCTTTAGTACACTGCCAACAACTATTGCATAAAAATGGCCTTTACCATCACATGTTTTTGTTTGTTTTATGAATGTATTACGAAAATAAAAACAAAAGTGCAGACAATAAAAGACGTGTAATATGAATTGGTGGAAAAAGGAAAAACGTTGACATAATCAGCAGCACCATGAATAAGCATCTATCTATCTATCTATCTATCTATCTATCTATCTATCTATCTATCTATCTATCTATCTATCTATCTATCCATCTATCTATCTATCTATCCATCTATCTATCTATCACTTTAAATATAATTAAAATATATGTATAATGCAAATACAATACAAATACAAATACAGTTGCTGTCAGAAGGTACTTTGTGTAACTGAGATTCATTTTCAATTACACTAAACTACATCCTGTCCTAAGACTGAGTGAAGGGGAATTGCTTGAACTTGCTCAGATGTAACAGAAATTTGTCCTTAACGCAGGTTAATTGCTCTGTTGCAAGCCGTTGGACAGTTGATGACAGGAAAAGAGGTACATTCGTTTTTCATGGCAATACCAAAATAAAAGTAATTAAAAAAAAGTCACACTTCATATAATGTCTTTATTTCATAATCAAACCCATAATTAACTACTGTACAAAAATCATAATGCAAACTTCAGCAGCTTCTTTCTCTGTTTTTATTTCTTACTTTCTTTCTGTGTGATATTTAAGATTCGACTCCTGCCTCTATGTTCCTCTTTTTCTCACTCATCTTTCTCAAGCTCTTTCTAGAGTAATGAATGATATAGTGGGCACTATGTTCAATAAGGCTTTTCTAGGGGCGCTCTTGCGGCAGCAGGATCTGTACTCCCACCGAGCCCTGCGGACAGTTTTGACACGGATAGCACATGCCTCTATTATGCGTCTAAACCCGGCCAGCATGGACAAGGAATGAACTCATCCTCTCCCCAGGCAAAAACAATTGTGAATCACATTCTTTTTTTTTTTTGCATCGAGTTTTCTTATAGTGTCAGTGTAATTAAATACATTATTAATGAAAGATTTACTCAGAATAAACTTAATATCTCAAAGTGCTTAAGGTATTAAAAACGGATGGTCTTGATAGTACATGTATGCATCAGGACAAAAGTAGGACTTAATGTTCATTAATGTATCGCTCATCCAAAAATGGACATTTGCTGAAAATGTGTTCACACTCAGGCTGTCCAGTTTGTTTGTTCATCGGAACAGAAATGTAGCATTACATCACTTGCTCACCAATGGATCCTCTGCAGTGAATGGGTGCCGTCAGAATGACTTTTTGAATTGAGTCCAAACAGCTGATAAAAACATCACAATAATCCACAAGTAATCCACACGACTCCAGACAATCAATTAATGTCTTGTGAAGTAAAAAGCTGCATGTTTGTAAGAAAAAAATGTATCAGTAAGTTGTTTTAACTTTAAACTGTCGCTATGGGCCAACAATACGAGTCCATAATCCAAAATAATGCTTCCTCCTCTGTTGTTCTCTCACATCCAAATCTGTTCCAATGAACAAATTAACTCATCTACATCTTGGATAGTCTGTGGGTGAGTAAAGTTTCAGCAAATTTCCATATTTGGGTCAACTATTCCATCTGCCATGATCAACATATTAAATGTGACAACAACAAAAAAGGCCAATGTAAATAAAACAAGCAAATCATGCAACTATATTAAGTTTTATGCTCCAGTGCATGCTGGGAAGATGTTGAATGGAACTGAACCATAAATGTTTTTTTTTCAGTCTAGTTCTATTTAAACAAACAAACAAACAAAAAAATCAGAGAAAACGCATTAAACACAACAATGCATTTCTCGTGTTTCGAAACATTGTACTTACAAGTAAAAATTTTTTTTTTTTTAGCATTATTTAATTGATCTATGAACCAATAGCATTTTGCAATGTGTAATGCAACTATAAAACGGTGCTATTATCCAGATAAAATGACAGTTAGTTACACTGTCATATTAAATAATATTTCTTACTTGAATAAAACCAGTTAATTTAGACCACATGTAGCACATTGTTTTAGCTTATGTGGCACAAAAATGTTCACAATCTACGTATATTTATTACCAATTTCCTGTTTAAGTTTGTGTTGTTGTCTTTATTGTAGCTGTACGATTTGATGGCTATGGCCTTTAAGAATCAGATCGTTCTGAGTCCACGTCCACAAGATTTACTGCTTATCACCTTCAACCACACAGACACCATCAAGGAACTGGTTAAGGATAATCCCAGCCTAGTTAACCAGATCAGTGAAGCCCAGAGGCAGCTTATTGAGGAAAAAGTCCACTGTCACCCACCAAGAACTAGTTTTCTCCTAGTTTCTAAATGTGGTGTAAATCTTACCAAAATATATAATTATATCTTCTTAAGAACTGTTTTCTAGTTGTGAAGTAATTCTATCTAGAATCTATTGCACATCAAGTTGCTTTTCTCTGCCAATGTTATTGCTATTTCTAGTGCACACTTGCCAAATTTAAAAAGCACCTCTTTCTAAGGTATACACACCCTTATCCGATGGTGAGTTTCATCTCATCCGACATACGCTGCTGGTTCTCTTTCAAGATATGCAAATCAGGGTGAGCAGATTGTTTATGAAAGCTTATTGTCATCAGCGTTTGAAATGGATCGCTGCCAGATCATACAGTTGTATGCAAAGCATCACTGAGTCATGACGTTTTGTGTAAGAACGTTCAAGCGTAGGCATTCTGTCATGCGGTCGTAGTGACACTTACTGAGATGTTGTGATATGTTCTTTCATCAGGTCTCGATTTTCTTGAAAGAAAAAATCCAGAACCCAAATGGCCATTTTGTTGTGCAGACCTCAGGGCCGGTGCCTTACGGATTTGAGGTTCCTGGTTTAATCAGGTAATGCAGATGAAGGTCAGAGGTCACAGGCAGGATCCTTATAGTGAGTTCTTCATCAGTAGCTTTTCACTGGGAAACACGGAGGCTTCATGGAAATAAGATCATATTGTTACAGTCATACACACCCATATGCAAACTTCCTTCCTTATTTGCTTTTTTATACTTTTTGGAGCTTATATATAAATGCAAAATATAAAAGAATATATAATATAAAACATTATATATTATATAATATAAAATAATTAAGTAACTCTCTCTCTCTCTCTATATATATATATATATATATATATACAGTATATATATATGAGTTATTATAGTTAACTAAATCCAAATTTTTCTTATAGTTCTTATATATTATTATTATTATCTTATAGTTATATATATAGAGAGAGAGAGAGAGAGAGAGAGAGAGAGAGTTATTATAGTTAACTAAATCCAAAATGTTACTTGTCATAAACTTTAACTTAAATGTTAAAAAAAACTTAAACTAATTTTATTTCAGCTAGTTGCCAAGGCAGTGTTTCTCATTTCAATTTAGTTTAACTTGATGTACTGAAATAACTCCAAGTAAAACTAAAATAAAATGTATAAAAACTACAGAGGCATACATACAAAAAAAAATACAATACAATAACTATTACAAAAATTACATAAACATACACACAATATGGGGTGTTGCTAGATATTTATTTTCTGAGGCACGAGCCTCGATATTGGTAAATCTTTATATGTGAATGTGAATTACCATATACCGACCTGAGAATAAATTTTATGATATATTTCAGCAATATAGTCATGTGTTTTTTTCTATCAGCTGTTTAGAATCAGAACTAGTGATGCCAGATTTCATAAAGGTCTGAAATTGTTTGCAATTCAGTTTGATTCATTAGGACAGTGGTTTCTCACAGGGAAATAGTAACAGGATATTTTATAAGACAACAAAAAGAGTGCTGGGTGAGGTGGATATTTACCTACAATCTAGTGTATAAAACAAAACTTGCATGTCTTAAAAAGAATAAAGACATCAATAACTAAATTTGTCAGATTAATTATTTTATTTTACAGAAGGCTTGATTGAAAATCACAGGTAAAAATATTTATTACTGTAATAAATAACCAAATCTCTCAAAATGTTTTTTCAGTGGAATTTCAGAAGGAACGGAGCATCAATCATCTAGAGTCATAAACATATAAGCCACACAGGTGCTGTGTAATGCAATTTACAAATCTGCTCATGTCCTTGTCTTATTTTAGTTTGTTGCCCAGGGCTGGGAATGTCCTATGCTACTAGTAAAACCTACTATCATTTACTAAGAAGCACCAGCATTGCTCCAGGGTGAGCTTAACTTAAGAGCTTTTTGGCATATGATTTTATTTTCATTCAAATGTAAGTTACCAGGAAGTTAACACCGAAAGTAGAAACCACACATTTGTTCCTGTTAATTCAGGAATGTTTTATGAGTTTGCAATAATCTTTTAGTGTTAGGTGCACTAGATAATTACTTTAATATGTGCATACTGAATTTGTGGTAATCCCAAACCACATCAATACATCTTTTTTTTCTCTTCTTTTTTTTTTTTTTATATTAGTGACCCAGTCATAAGTTTACTCCTTATTTATTCAAGCCAAACTCTAAGCTTCAGTAAATGGCTCAATATAAATCACTTTTAAAAAAATGTTTACCTTGGTATTCTCAGGACCAGCTGGCCAGTACTGAGCTGGCACCCATAGCGGGAGAATTTGATGAAGGGGGGAGCCCAACAGAGGGACCCGGGAACAAGGGGGGTGGCTTGCTGGCCATGATGGACGAGCTGTAGATTGTGAGTCAGGAAACATGTGGTAGGTCTGAAATGTTACAGAAAAATATGGTAGGTTTGGAAATGCCTGGCATTTATACCATGCATGCATACATACATCTGACATGAGAACAGAATTTTTTTTTTTAAATAGTACAACTTAACAATAAATAATGTGTATGAATCTGAAACAGTAGATTTATGTACATATTTGTGCATTATTTACTCTGTATAAATAAAGAGATGTGCATATGTATTTACATAATACTTGAGAAAGAGGCAATAATTAAGGATGTATAATGAATTACAGAACACAGATAATGATTCATGTGTTAGCTGTTTAAGCTGGAGATGGCATGGGGGGGGGGGGGGGGGCGAGGGGACTTTGATGATGTTACCTGCCCGTTTCTTCACTCTGGAGTTGTACAAGTCCTGAGTACTGGGCAGGTGCACACCAATGATCCTTTCTGCTGTCCTATACAGTCCGTTGCAGTCTTCTTGTATCTGATTTGCTGGCTGACCCAAACCAGAGAGTTATAGAAGAGCACAGAACCGACTCAATAACAGCTGAGTCATATACACCTGTGGCCTATATGCCTATGCGCTAGTAGCATATAAATACACACAGACACGCACACACATTTTATATATAAATAAATAAATTTAAAAACAAAAATAATATTGTTTATTTATTTTAAATGTTACTCTTTTTTTACTTATAATCTACTTTTTAAAATATATTAGGTTAAAATACATACCCTGTATATATTAAATGTAGCCTAATCTTATGTTTGTGTTTAGGAGATATAGATTTATCGGCCAACATATCGGTTATCCGCTTTCAAAAATAAAGAATTATCGGTTATTGGTATCGGCCAAAAGTTTCATATCGGTGCATCCCTATTTGTGTTACTTATGTTTTTGTGCTTAAAATGTCTTTAAATACTTTGTTTGATATTTTGTTAGATAATATTTTAAAAAGTCAATTTTTGTGTGGCTAAAAGTTCATTTTTACTGACATTATTACTTTTCATTCTGGATTTCACCTGGTTAGACAACAAACCTAATTTGCGTATTTTCCATGTGTGGTTTGTCTGTCAGCAGAGCCTCTCGGAAACCTGTAATTATCATTATTTATATGCAAGTATGCACATGCTCAAAAACATTTAAATAGATATGTTGAGCGTGTGGCTCAAGTTGTAATACAAATCATACATTTATTTGGGGCTACCTTTTTTAAATGAATTGGCAGAGAATCACTGGTGTGCTTTTCATCTTCTTTGGTGTCATAAAAAGAAATACATTATAAAGAAAGTGGTTCTTAAATTACTCCCACTGCAAGACAAATGACTTTGTCTGATTGTTAATGACGTCTCTGTGCACAGGTGAACATGGACGTGAGCCATTCCATTCGTGAGCGCACCATCGCCGAGAACAGTCTGGTGATTCTCCTGCAGGGTCTGCATGGCCAGGTGACCACCGTTGACCTGCGAGACGAGAGCACGGCGAGGGGACGTGTTATTAACGTGGACGCTTTCATGAACATCCGGCTGGAGAAGGTTCTGTACAGGGACAGACGTGGACGCATGTCCAGTATGGACGACTTGTTCATCACGGGCCGAAACGTGCGTTACGTCCACATCCCAGACCACATGAACATTATAGAGACAATAGAGACCCAACTTGCAAAAATACACCGCGTGCGAAACTTTGGAGCAAGCGGTGGACGCAAAGAATACTCCAAGAAGAAATAGTTTTTTGAGAAACTGTTTGTCTTGCAAATATATGGTTTTGTAATGCACACTATTATTTTTCATTAAGTAATGTAATCATGGAGCAAAAAAGTAATGTATAGTTAAAATGTTGCTAGTTGGTGACTTAAAAAGCTCTGAATAGTGTCTCTAGGAAAAGTGTGGGAAAAGTTATTTCTGTTTATTTTGTATTGCTCTAGTGGTTTGAAAAACCAATAAATGGTGAAATAACCGTTGATCGATGTGTTCCTTATGTTGACGTTGTGTTTGTTTAGACAGCGCAACTTTTAATATTTGTTCTGTCTCTTAATTGTGATGTCAATATTTCTAAACAGCATTGTTTATATGCAAATATTAGTACTTTACAGCCTTTATTTGTGCAATTCAAAACATTGTTTGCTGTGTAATTACTGTTTCTGTTTTTAATTGCAAAAGTTTCATAAGCAGAATAAGATCAGGGGCCCGTTTCAGAAAGGAGGTTAAGTGAAAACTCTGAGTATGTTAATCCTGAAATGAGGGAAACTCTGGGTTTTCCTTTTCAAAATGGGAGGTTTGTCAAACCGGAGAAAGCAGGGTAAGTCAAGCCCGTTTCTGAAAGAGAAGTAACTTATACTCTGAGTCAGTTACTGTGGTAACTTAACTCTGTGAACCCTAACCTGGGGTGCGTTTCCCAAAAGCATCGTTAGCTAACTGGTAGTTAGTCAAGTGCATTTAAAGGGGTCATAGGGTGCCCATTTTCCACAAGTTGATATGATTCTTTAGGGTCTTAATGAAAAGTCTGTAACATAGTTTGGTTAAAATTTCTCAATGGTAGTGTAAAAAACAAAATTTTTACCCTGTCAAAGATGGCTCTTTTCAAATCAAGCCATTTTTGTAGCATTTTCCTTTAAATGTTAATGAGCTCTGCTGCCCCCGCCCCTCTCTTCCGAGCTGCTCTCAGAGAGACTTTAGCCGCATTCATCGTGAAACTTGCTAATTAGCACATTATTAGGAAAGGCGATTTGCAAAGATTCATTACAAAACATTATACTCACTTCTTCTGTAGATGAGACTGGATCATGAATGATTCGTACTGTAGCGGATCAGCTCATGGGGAAATATGAATAATTAACCATAACTAGTTATAATTAACTATTCATATTTTAGATCCACTGTAGATATTTAGCTGACCACTCAGGGTCAACCGTCTTGTCAATTCTAAGAACGTTAATTTCCTGGTTAAAGGAAATAACTTTCTTACTGTACAATTCTATAAGTTTGTAACGTAAATCTGCATGATTATTGACTCCGGTTATGAGTAAACAATGAACACGTCAAGTGTGAAACAAGTAAGGTTTTATTAACTACATAAAAACTTAAACTAGTCTAACATACTACACAAACACATTAAGCCGGTCTAACATAAACATACACACACACACACACACATACAGTTGGTATAGGAAAGGGTTCAAGTTTAGCACTAAAGAAAGAGACATAAGGAATGACATTTATGGAACCATTTTGCATATTCAGCAGATCTAAAACCTGAGGGAAAACGTCAGATTCTTAGTTCAAACAAACCTTGTAAAAAGGTGTAACTGATACTTAATGCATCAATTAAATCGACTAAGTTTGATACTTGCGTATGTCTGAAAAAGATTCCTGATGCAATCTTAAGGCCCCAAGATCTTGCTGAAGTTGGTTGATGAGAAAAAGCTAGTTTGAGTCAGAATTCCCTTCAGAAACAATGTAATCCTCTGCATCTTCAGCGGCTCAGATGTCGGGAGGAAATGACGACTGCTATGTTCATTATTACATCCAACAACAGAACACCTCAATCGCTTAGGAGTCATTCTTGTCTACATCTGCTCCGGCGGTGAAACAATGGCGGACTGATGACAGCTCACTCAGGGCGGAGCTAAGGTAAGACACCAGTCCAGTCTGTGCTGAAACGCTACTGTCAATCAAACTATCGTGGGAGGGGCCTGTCTGTGTGACGTCACACAGACAGGCATCTGAGATCGGCTTGATTTGAGAAAGGGGAAAATATTTAACCAGATTTTTTTTAAAAACACTGGGTGGATTTTTATCATTGTAGGGTGGTTGTGTACACACACTGCCAACACACATTTCAGTTCAAACAACTTGTAAAAAAGCATTTAGCATCCTATGACCCCTTTAAGTGCATTTAACGTAAAACATGTCAAATTGTCTGCCATATAGGGTAAGAAAAATAATCTTGACGCAAATGGAAACATGATTATTTTCATTTCTTACCCCACTGGCAGATAATTGCAAAATAAGAAAAATGCACTTAAACAATTTTTGCCCCATGGAAACAAGACTAAATACCTTATGTCATTTGTTTTTGTTTTTTTGTAGGAAATGCATCTTGATTTAAGAATCTTTAGATATTTCGACTAGAAACAAGAAGACAAATTCTAAGTAAGAAAAGCATTTTTTGCAGTGCAGGTACATTTATTCATTGAGCATATGTTCATCATGCAGATGCGGTCAAAGTTACAAAAATGGCATCTCCTTTTATACAGGATCCTGTTGAAGAGGAGGCTGCAAATTTCTTTTTTGCCATATCCACACATTTTAAATGCTAGTTTTCTTTAAAACATCGGAGATGCAGAGCACATTAGTAAGGCCGTTGTATGCAGACCGATAAGGAAAGTGTGCATTGCTCTCACACTCATTCTGAGAAATCTTTTCTGGGCACAATTTGCCAAAGAGGAGTAGGCTATCACTGGACTGTGTGTCAGTGGTGTAGAAATGAGGCTAATTTGATAAATGAAGTTCACTTGATAACATATTGCTGCGACCTCTGGAAGTAACCCAATAATTAGAATTTTCTTCAGGATTTCCAGTGTGGTTGGATGCATAGATGACGCATATTTCATTCATCGCACCTTGAAAATGAATTGGATTACTTTATGGAATGGAAGAATGCCAAGATGAAAGGGTAGTACGGTCGTCTTATTTTTGTCTTATACAGTTATTTGGTCATCTTTATTTCCTACAAATTCAAAAGCAACAGTTTTTTTTCCTTTTGGATTTTAAAGTTCTTCCAATAATTGACCATCTCCTCTTCATCTGTCAGTGGTGCTGGTGTAGGTTCTCCCCCCTTTTTGCAAGCCTCTGCCTTCTTGCTGTTGACTGAGTAGGCTACAGTATTTCATTTTATTACTCTAATTAAGAAATGTAACAGGTTGGATTAGAGAACATTTAATTAGCCTATGTGAAAAGAGTGTTAGACTATGTGGAAAAAGCTGCTGCGCATTGAAATAGACACTGAATGATATTTAATATGTCAAATGTTTTTAAAGTCATGTAGCCTACAACCATGAACCTTTTATGCTTAATGCTTTACCTTGATTGAATTGTGTTTTTATACTTCATTTGTTAGCTGCTACCACTTTTTTTTTTTTTTGCCATGATACAACAAAATAGCATGTGAAGCAATGATTTTTTCTTTATTTGTTAGCTGCTACCCCTTTTTTTTTTTTTTTTTTGCCATGATACAACAAAATAGCATGTGAAGCAATGATTTTTTACGGTTAAAAAATTATATTTGTGATATTTTAACTGTCTATTATTAATGGACATGTTTTCTAATATGAATGTTAAAAGGATTACATAGCATTTTAAGAAAAATACAAGGTGGTAAAGTGGGTACAGTTGATACACCTTTTATAGGACGCTATGTATACAGTAACAGTTCAGTCATAGAAAATAAAATGCATATTCAGAGGCTGTGTGTGTTTGTGTACTGGTATTACCTACGTTATGGGGACCAAATGTCCCCACAAGTACAGTAAAACCAGTAAATTCTAACCTTATGGGAACATTTTTTAGGTCCCCATGAGGTTACAAGCTTATAATTCATACAGAATGATTAAAAAATTAAAAAATGCTGAAAGTTTTGAGTAATGGGTAGATTTAAGGGTAGGGTTATAGAATATACGGGTATGTATATTGTTATTTTTACTGTTATGTTTACATTTATTCTGTTTGCCATAACTTTTCTAGTGTTAAATATGTGTTCCTATTTGTTTGAATCTGAATGATTTTTTTTTTTTAAATGCACAACTGTAATTTTGTAATGTGGGTGAATGGGTGTCTCATGGTGGCCATGGTACTGTTTCAACTGTACACCATATGGGTACAGTTGAGACAAAAATGCACCTTATATATATGAGCTAATTGTGGAAAATATAAACTACTTATGGCTATGTTCAATTTATGATATTTTAGTACATAAGCAAAAGAAATATCATGTGAAAAATCACTTCATTTCAGCATCTAGTTTTTTTGTAGTGATGAAAAAAGCAGAAAGTGTCTCAACTGTACTCAGTCTACCCGACTCAGAAGTATGCGGACGTCTTTTTGGCGGGAGCTGTTGCCATGGTGAATCAAAATTTCGGAGTTCCATTGATCATGACTTCTCATAGTCTTGGTGCACACGCTAAACTCAGAGTCAACCTACTCAGAGTGGATTGAACTAACTCAGTTCTGCTGTTCTGAAACCGAAAACTCTGAGTTTCCCATCTCAGGGTAAGTCAACTCAGAGTTCAATGTTAAACTCAGAGTTGGTTGAACCTCCTTATTGAAACGGGCCCCAGGATTGGTGATAATTTCACATGATCATCTAAATAATTAACAGAACAGTCCCAGATTGGGTATGTATATTGTTATTTTTACTGTTATGTTTACATTTATTCTGTTTGCCATAACTTTTCTAGTGTTAAATATGTGTTCCTATTTGTTTAACTGAATTTTTTTTTTTAAATGCACAACTGTAATTTTGTAATGTGGGTGAATGGGTGTCTCATGGTGGCCATGGTACTGTTTTAACTGTACACCATATGGGTACAGTTGAGACAAAAATGCACCTTATATATATGAGCTAATTGTGGAAAATATAAACTACTTATGGCTATGTTCAATTTATGATATTTTAGTACATAAGCAAAAGAAATATCATGTGAAAAATCACTTCATTTCAGCATCTAGTTTTTTTGTAGTGATGAAAAAAGCAGAAAGTGTCTCAACTGTACTCAGTCTACCCGACTTAGAAGTATGCGGACGTCTTTTTGGCGGGAGCTGTTGCCATGGTGAATCAAAATTTCGGAGTTCCATTGATCATGACTTCTCATAGTCTTGGTGCACACGCTAAACTCAGAGTCAACCTAC